ACTGCGGCTGTGACCGGAGCTATAAATTGCGAGCCTCCCATATAACGCCGTTTGATAAAACAAGGTTTTCAACGAGTAAGTTTGAAAACAGTGTCTCTCTTGCATACATTATTATCTTGGAATTAATCGTTCATCATTGGTGCAATGAGGGCTGTAAATTTCGTGACAAACGCACGGACACAGCCTTGGGCAATCATATTTAGTAAATAATATATAGTGAAATGTTTATTTTCCTGCAAATCCGTTGAAGCAAGGCTTCCGAAACCTAGGCGGAAGACATTCGTCTTTCAGTTTGGGATGATGACGACGTTCGCTATTCTTGTGCACGAAATCCCGCACGAAGTGAGCGACTTTGCAATCCTGCTCCGAGCTGACTTCAATCGAATGCAAGCAGTCAAAGCTCAGGTAGATTTTCAGTTTTTTTACTGGAAGTGGGCAAGTTTGTACCCAACGTTGTTGTTAAAGAAGGTGATAGTGGCGGCAGCATATCTATCTCCCTTACCCCGTACAATTCTCAAACTCGTCGGAGCCAGAGCGCAGACGACCTCAGTCGCCGCGGAGTAGTCTCGTAAAACAAGCATCGAGTCGCGCTTGGCCTCCCCCTCCGCATTCCCCCTCCTCCTTAAGCCCCCTCTCCGAAGGAGTCATGTTGGCCCAGTGACCCTACCATTCAACAATAAACTACCGCTTCACAAGCAAATTATGTACCGCTTTCGTGTCAAAATTTGTTGTGTTTATTGACGTCTTCCGGGCCATTCAGCTTGTCACAGCTTCGGGAGGGATTATTGGTGCAGTTGTTGCTTTATGGATCAACAATGATTCCATGCAGTCAGCCGACTGGATTCTTGCTTTTACTGCCGGAGGATTCATAAATATCGCTCTCGCCCAAATCCTTCCGGAGCTCAATGAAGAAAGGGATCGGAGGTGATACGTTGTTCAACATATACTACCATTTTTAATTCCTTTGTGAAGTATTGGGTATATTAGCCGCCATGTCATCAAATTTGTTTTTTTTAGGCAGAACCTCAAGCAAGTCGCTATGATGTTCTTGGGTCTATTCGTTATGATTGCCATCAGCAGTTTGAAAATTATCTGATCACGGACTGCCATTTTCCACATCGCACACATTCTGCCTTTCTTCTCGAACAACTCGCCAGAAGTTATTTTTCAATTCGATCAATGCATATCCATGGGTCAATTGGTATAGGTGATGAGGTTTCATCTGATGACTGCATAAACGAGTTAACATGCTCCTCCTTTGAAATCATGCAAAACTAGTCCGTGATAACAATTGTGTCTGAGACGACATATCAAATGTATATAAATTATTACAACAGTCACGGTGTGAATATGTAAAGAGATTTGTGAACATTCTGGCTTCCGAAAAAGATACATGTGCTCAGGAGCATTCAGCAGGAGAATCGAACCGCCGGAAAATAACCGCAATAAATTTGAGTGTAGTGGGACCATCACATGTAAAGAATAGATTAGTGATGGTTGTTGGCAAAAGTAGGCAACGTTTTGACTGGAAAGTGAACAAGTCGTGAAAGGAGTATTTAGACGATAATAACCGGTGACGGGCAAAGGAAAAGATTTCTTGCTCTGGTTTCTTGCAGGTTATATTAGGTACATCATCGAGCTTTTACCGTACATGACCTCGCTCTTCACAGGTTGCTGTGTGATATTGTTTCAGGGAAATGAGCATTGCGAACTTTACAGTTATATTCACTTTGTCAAGGTTATTAGGTACCAGTCGGATCGCCCGGCTGTCGCCGGGCGCTCCTCCTTCTGTGACATGGCCCGGCTTCGCCGGGCCATGCGGATTTGCCGCGTGCTAAGTTAAGGATCGTTGACCAACCACACTGTTCAAAGGAATCTTCTGCATCAGCCAAGAACTGAAAAGCAGCGCTTGTTCCGTCAAGGCGCAGAAGCAGCAGCAGCCCCCCCCCCGCATCACAGAAGGAGGAAAGCCGGCCTTAG